CCTTGTACTGCAAAGACACTGTTTGGTACCTGACGATTCAACAGAAGCAGCAACACAGACTGTCCCTTCCAGAACTACAACTTATTTTAGAAGACCCCATTACTGTACCCAGAGTGCTCTCTTTAAACCCAAGGGCCTACTAAGGCTTTGGTCCAGATGCTCTCCCACCCCAAAGAGCTCCATGAAAAAGGTGATGGATGCATTTTCTTTCAGCAATTTAACATTAACTGCCTTTCAGTTTAGCTGAGAATGAGAACGGAGGAAAAGAAGCATTGCATTCACCTTCTCCAGTTCATTCAAGATTTTGTATCCTTTGCTGTTCTCTTTAAAAATAAATACTCCAATATTTTCATCTTCTTTCATTCTCTACAGGCAGGATTTTGATTAGGAACTGCACCAGCACTCTCTTGGCCCTAATTAAAGGGCATGTAATACAACAAATAGATGGCAATGCCACAACATGAATTCGATCCAGCCTGCATCATTTGTTCATAACTTTCATTCACAGAAATGAGACTACTACTCTCCTTCCACATCTCTGTCAGGCTCCCCATGGAAATTACTCTCATCCACCCTCTTGTAGAGTGCAAAACATAAAACTTCGCTAATGAAAAATTGCTAGCAGAAGCAACAAGCACACCTCAGCTAACTAATCCATGGGATGTTCAGATCTGGAAACATAAAGTTTCCTACCTAATAAGGGTGTGCTGATTTCCATCAGATTGATGCCAGGATGCCTTGGAGTGCAATCAATACAAAACAAATAAATTATTAATTGCTCCAAGTAATTAAATTTATCAAATCCAAATAAAAATAACTGATATTTTATGGAATTGCTTCCAAAGCTGAACCTCTGAAGGGACAGTATTGATCACAGGAGGACAGACAGATGTTTCACATGTTCACAGCCGATGAGATCTGGGTTTGCATTAATGACAGGGAAGGAACAGAGCCAACAGCCTCTGATGCAGAGTAAACAGGCGGCGTGCCTGGCCATTTAATTGTCGGTCAGATCAAATATGTAGAATAAACATGTCTAAACACATACATACAACCCCATCTTCCTCTAGAAATATCATTCACCTTGACGCTGTAGTAAGCACTCAGCTCCCACTCCAAGAAAAAAAAACAAATTGAAGAGAACTCACACACACGCATTCCCCCCACAACGACAGTAAATTCTTACTCATTAATCAGTGCTAAAAAAAATGCTCAGTAGGCTAGTAAATATTTAAAAGCTGGTGAGTGTGAATATTTGAATCAATGGGTACTAAAGCTGTACTTGTAATTTTCCTTCTTCTACGTCTTTTTTCATTGGTCCAACTGGCAAGTTGTCTACAAGATCTCAGCTGGCAGATGGAGTCAGGCTGCTGGCTGGAAGACTTTTCTGAGGGGACGTGACCAGCTTTGAATGACTAAGCTGGAGCATCTCTCAGTCCTTTCTGTGGACTGAGATCTCTACAAACTCCTTTTCATCCCAGAGTTTTGTTTTGTTTTGTTTCCAGATGAGACATCACTCAATCGATTCTCTTCCAGTTCCTTTGTTTCCAAACCCGTGACAATAGAGCAAGGACACAGACTTATACCTCAACATGCAGGAGTGGGGACAAACATCCACCCTTTTCCATCCATCACCTTCCTTCTTAGAAGCACCACTGCAGCAATTCAACACCATTAACAAAATCACAACTTAAAATTTGCAGATAAGGCTGAGAGAAAAGATGAGCAACTTAAAACACTGAAGAGATGTTAAGTATGCCAAAGTCAAGTGCTCTGACCACAATAAAGTCAAAGACAAAGGTTAAACTTAAAAGAAAGCTGAACATGACATGGTACAGAAACACTGCGGTGAATTCAAAACAAACTCAGCTATGCCCTACAGAAGTAACACAATGCCTAGATCACAAACGTGTGGTTATTGTTGGTTTGTCTGGGCCCTGGAAAAGATTCAAGTTCAACAGCTCCCATTTTCCTTTCCTTCAGGCAGATCCTCAGCAAAGTTTTCCTTCCTCATAGCTCCCTGCTTTCCCTTTAGTCTCTTCCTCTCCTTTCCCTGTACAAATTCCCTAGCCATCTCTCATTTCCTCTGGCTCTTCGGCTGTCTGCCCTCCCAGCTGAGTAGACCTGGTATAACAGGAAGTTTTCCAGAAGTAACACTTAGGATTAATAATACATTTCTGGTGTTACTTTCATAACACTGTTTTACTAACAGTAAAGGCAAAGGTCTAAAATCCCTTTTCCAGAAACTCATGAAAGGCTTATCCCCTTCCAAAACATCTGCTACTGCCTCCTGTTCTCAGTGGCACCAAGGCAATACACTCCCTTGAATTAAGACGAAGCTTTTCATAATGCCCAGCTTCCTACTGCCTTAGAGAAACTTGCAGTCTGTGCTGTCAGGAGGCAAAGGGGAAATCCCATGCAGAGTAAGGGCACAGGGGCTGTGGCCTTCTTTGCCTGTGGCCACAGTCCCATGGAGAACAATGGGAGACTGAAGCCATTGTGATAGAAGGCAGCTCGTGGAACTCACTGGAGAAGATTACTCTTCAGTGTCTGCTGAAGGAGAAACTTTGGATTATGAAGAATAATGGCTGTAAGTGACCATTAATCCTAGGGCGGAAAAAACAAGTCTTCAAATTCATCCTGTGCATAAGATTTTGTAAGCTTTAACAACAGGGGAAATTTGAAAAGTCAGGGCTATTGTCATGAAACCTACTGGGAACAAATTACGTTGAATACAGATCACTAACTTTTTCTTCAAGGACTCATTTCTATAAATTAATTTTAACTCCAGTTTTCAGACTAATTGTAAATCCTCAGGGGAAAAAAAAATATCTATCTCTAATCAAAGAGTAAGTGCTATTATCCTGGGGATGATACGGTACATTTTTCACACGTGACAGAGGTTGAGTCCCTGATCTCAGTGCAAAATCCAACTTCACCTAACTATGAAGGCGTAAAGCACGGTAGCAAAGTACAAAATAAAGGAGGACAATAGAAGCCTTTAGGCGAGGAACTTTTTAGGTCCTCAGGCAAAAGAACTTACTGCAGGATGTGACAAGCCTTTAGAAATCATTTTCCAATGCAGTCAGGGCAAAACATCTTACGCTGGATGCTGCCAGAGTACAAGTTTCCCGTACAGTATCCCAATTCCTCACTTAGTCGTAGTCAGCTCCCACCCTTATCAATTCCACACCCCTAGCATGTAGAGGGTTTGCCACATAAATCCCACAAGTAAAATAATTTGCATTAGCATAGATTGTCAACTCTATACCACTGAGCACTTAAACATCTCTTACCAGTTCAAAAGGTATATAGTGACCTCATGTAATTAATTCTTCCTATCACCCAGATGTGAAGCAAGTGAGCCTACTAGCTCCTGTTTTAAAAACAGGGAAGACTTGCATAAGGAAGCCAGGCAACTAGCTAAAAGCCACAAATTAATTCATTTTGCTGGGTTGGATGCAGGTTTCCTATCTCCAAGTTACAAAGTGTTGTTTATTCACCTAAATCGGTGATTTGCAATCTTTTTCAATTTGCAAACCACTGGTACTTCTAATAACAGCATTATTCTCCTTAAAAATTTCAAGCAGAGCATAGAAAGTTGCTCTAGGTCATCCCAGGAGCTTGGATACTGCAGGCTGAAAGTTGCTGAATCAGACTGCCGTGCCTCAGCTTATCACTGCATTTTGTGAGCATTAAAGACGACAGGGAGAAGCACGTAGCACCCGTTTTCACAAAGGCTGGAATTTGAATTGCCTGTTTGGCACACGAAAAGCCTGCTGGCTTTGCCAGATGGTTCCACCACTGACAGGTTATTGCACAGCTTCTCTTCCAGAGGGGGTAAAAAAATAGAAAAGATCAACCATCACTTACTAGTTTTCAAAATCCAAATCAATCTCCATAAATTACTCTATTTATCTTAGTGCCGGCAAACACATCTGCCACATCTCCATAAATCTCAACACAAGGGCTGCAGTCTTGCCTGTCACTTGCCTGTGACTTTCTCAAGGCTGTAGTCCCTCACTCAAACAGGTAGCCTGCAGACAGTGGCACCTGTACACTGAAGGGGTCCCCCAGCAGCAACCTTGCTGATGCATACCGCCTCCAATGTGCACATGCACCCATACGCTGAAGCAGCATGATCCTAAACACTTCTCTATTAACAGCCCCAGGGTGTTCCCAGCAAGATCTGAAACTATTCTGACATCAAAAGAACATCCCATAAAACAGTCTTTAAAAGTGACCTAGAAAATTACTATGCCAAGTGAGGGTGCTAGGCAAGGAACCTACTTCTCCACCCTTGCTACAATAAAGCAACTAAGGATTATTTTATTTGGCTAGGAAAATAAAAAAAAAAAGCACTTGTACTGGGCAAACAGGATTTTGCTATCAAAACCCCCCTGAAAACATTCAGTCGGCCAGGCATGTTTACCTTACACAGTATCCCAAAATCCGTCACTAAGAGACAGGCGTCAAGTCTTGCTGATAAAACAGCAAGAAAGTTCTTTTCTCAGGGATATCTGTGCAACAGAATGAACAAAGGGGCTTTCCCCAAAAATATTTTCTGAAGACAATGGAAATAGGAAGGCTAAAAATTATATGCATTTATGTGTGTCTTTTTCAATACACAATCTGACCATCCAGCTCTTAAAAGCGCCTCTCGTCTATTAACACACGTGCTCTGTGAGGCTTATTATGTTCAGCTGTGAGCTCTGTTTGGACTAGACAGCTCCATTTGGGTCTGTCACATGTGTCTAACAGCAGAGTGGGCACACCAGTAACAAACACCAGCAAGTTCAGTTGCCCCTGCAAGGTGATGAGCTGCCTTTCAGAAAGCCAGCATTCCAGGTTTCTGAGTCTCCACATTTATGGAATTCCTTTCTTATTTTAGAGGCAAGAACTTGACTTTCTTTAGCTGTAAAAGGAGACCAGATGAGGAGACAGACAGGCAGACTGAAAGACATTAACAGAGATCCCAAGGGACCAGGACAACAGCCTACCCTCTGGCTTCGCAGCGTGACACCTGCAGATTTGAAGTCAGGAAACTTGATTCCAGCAGTCTCAGGAACAGCCTGAAAGAGATCGAAACAGGATGTGTTGATGGAGGAAACACAAGAAACACGAGATTTCATATAGAGACTATCTGAAGGGGAAACACTGTTTCCTATCACAGAGAACCACCTGCCAGAGCCACATGTCAGAGCTGAGGCAAGAGGAAAATCCCAAGCAAACGGATTCAGTGGGAAAATCCCAAGCATTTCACTGAGAAAAATACTCCAGTTAAGTTATATCTGGAGATCTCAAGCATTTTTGTTTGGCTGATTTAAACACACTGCTCTACACAGAGCCTTACACTCATCCACACAAGCATAAACTCTAACCCTAAATGGTACTCCTTATACTAATATACACATATTTGCACAATTTTCATCCTTATCTTACTTGGGTTCATTTCAGTGAACAAAACAGCCCAGGACTTCCCTAAATCTTGGCTTTTGACTGCAAGTCCTCTAAGGAATGAGCTGAGAAACCTCTGATCTGTACAGACATGAGCCCATTAAGGAGGACGTAAGTGTTCACGGCCAGGTTGGACCGCGCTTTGAGCAACCAGTCTAGTGGAAGGTGTCCCTGCTCATGGCATGGGGATTGAGACTAGATGATCCTTAAGGTCCCTTCCAACCCAAACCATCTTATGATTCTATGACTGCACCCCTCCAGGAAGGCATGCAGTTTATACACATTTTGGCATCTGTCCACGCGTTAGATAGCTTGCTTTCTTCCCCACTTCACATTTTAAGCACAGCAATACAAAGCAGCAAACTTCTAATGCTACTGCTGCTAGACAGCAGAGCATTTAGTTGCATTTCAACAAAATGGAAAAAAATAAATGCAATCCCTTAAAAACATCTGTGCTGCTGAGCAAGGCACAAGGTGAGCAAACTTTTAAATGATTAAGCCAGGCTATCTGCACTGGGGTGCACTATATGCACTGAATGGTGTGGGGTCCCCTGAATGGGTCAGCGATACTCACAATTCAACCTTAGAACAGCCACAATCTCTGCAAAATGCATGCTCAATCACGCTTTTCCAAAAGGAAGAGTCACCTCAAATCTCCTGATTTCTTTGGAGATGGCATCTGCCTTTCCACTCCCACATTTCTCTGCAGACAAGCTCTGTAACAACCAGGGCTGCCCCAAGATCATAAGAGAAGCTGAAAGACAATGACTCAGTTCCTCAAGTTCCCTGCCAATGACTCTCACACCTCTATCAGCTATCTCTATGTCTTGGTCTTGAGGTGGCACCTTGCAAACCACTCTGTGTGGCCAGGTATTAACATTTTTTTCAATTATCTGTGGACAGTCCAATAAACAGAGGTCCCAGGAAGAGATTTCAAGACATGACCATGGTGGAAAAAGTATCCTCTAACTACCAACACGGCTCATGAACTTGTAGGGATCACTTTGATCTTTGGTAGGATGTAGCCTCCCTGCTTGGTTTATTAGAGACAAGGAAGGTTGCAATCAAAACCCAATCCTCTCTGCTTCCTTCAGATGAAGGCTAGCTTTTAGGGTCCCCAAACTCTGCCCCTCAGCCTGTTGCTGAACAGCCCGACACAAGCAGTGAGGGTTAATCAGCATCGTTGGCGTCGCGGAGACAACTCTGACTGCACTCGGCGCATAAGCAATTAAATGGGTTCTTTTGCCTTGCGTGCCTGTACATGCTGTAAACGCTTCAACCTCAATTGACTCTTTGGTAAATGATTTTCCTTTGTTGAAACGATGCTGATGCAGCTCCTGATTCAAATTCTTAGTTAAAATGCAATTTTTTTCTAACATTTCCCGGCTATAGTTGGTAATTGACTCCTAATGGACTCTGTCATGGTTGAAATGATGCTAGTGCAACAACAGAAACTGCTTCCCTGCCCATCCTGGCGTGCCTATCCACTATATGCCTGCAGACAGGCACCAGCCAACATTTACGGTTGGACTCACTCACCTTGGCATCCTCAGCATCTTTCCAGCCCCATTCTCCATTGCCACCCCTTTTTCATTACTACCAACAAGCTGCTTTCTTCAGAGGGAGATATGACAGCATGGTTGAGCTTTACCAGATCAACCCTCAAGGGAATTCAGTCAAGGTACCCAGTGATATTATATTAATTACATAGAGGGGTGGAGGGGGAACCAAAAGAATGTTTTAAGGAAGAGGTGTCCATTAGGTACACTTCATCAAGCAGTAACTGTCTAGCATTCACTGTTTCTCTCCCCTCCCTGCACAGACCCTTTCGGAGGACAATGACACAAGCGCTCTCCGTTCACAAGGTGGAGGGACAGGAATTCCCAGGAACTCACTGGAAACATCTGAAATTTTGTAACAGCCCTTTCCGATTGAAGGTGCTGAATTTAGTTCAGTCCACGCTGTCCCCTTTCCAGAAAGGGAAATTGAGGTAACATCAAATGTCAATTGAAATCTGTGTTCTCAGCTCCTCAGACTTTAGCTTGGCTCAGGGAGAAATAAGAAGCAATAGCTCCCAGAATAAAAAAGTTCTCCAGCAGGGCTGCTCTGATAACAGCTGCGGATCAGGAGAGCGGCATGTACTGAGCTTGGGGAGACGTTGCCAAGACCCAAGAGTGTGGAAGAAAAGGGAAACGTGTACTAGAAAAAGAAAGCAGGTGAAAGACAATGAGTTTGTGAGACAACCCTGCACAGCAGTACCAGAATACACGTAGGAGAAGTAGGGAGACAGATGCTTCTCCCTGCCATGAGGCATGAATGGCTGGCATAATTTCATCCCATCTCTCAGGGAAGGAAAGGGAAACAGGACTTAAACCAGCATTTTTCAAATAGGAGAGAGACAGGGAGCACACCACAGGACTCTGACAATGGCTGCCTTAGATCAATCTGCCTTCCAAAAGACGGCACCAAAAAAGCCCCTGCCAGAAGGCAGCAGCCAACAGCTACTCCCCCCAAAAGAGCTGAGGGCCTGATCCCAGTAGGATTGCTGAAGGAAACACATTACCCAGACAGAGCATAAGCACAGGAAAGAAAAAAAAATTTTAAAAGAATTAAAAAACCAAGAGAAACGTTTACAGGTTTCTCTGTCTCCTTCTTCTGTGGCAGCTTCTTCTTGGGAGCCTTGCGCTCGGCACGTCTCTGCTCAGTGGTGGTGTCAGCAGCTGTGATGAGCTTCTGCAGGTCTTGGGTTCTCTTTTCTCTCTCTTTCTTCCTGGTTTCGATTTTGCGGAGCTCCTGGATGAGGTATTCTTCTTCTGCCACCTGCAGACCAAAGCACATAAAGGCAATTAGAGGAGCAGAGGAGGCCTAGCAAGGCAAGGGGGCCATCTACCGATAACAGCTCTGCTCTCGGCCGGCCTGGGAACGACTTTAAGCTCCCCAGCCTAATATCTTGGATTTTCAGAGCACATTATGCTCCATAGCCTTACCTGCATCCATGGCAATGCCAGTCTACAAACTGGCAGGTACTGTATCACAACATCCATGATACACCCTTCAGCAGCATCCATAAATGATTAATCCCACCTCCAGACAAAGAGACCAAGAGCACAGAGAAGGGTAAAAGAGTCCAAATATACTGTAGTTGCAAATGCAGTGATGTGAAAAGCTGGCTCCCCTCCCCAGACATAGCTGCTCCATGTTCTATGTGCTAGGCCTAGCATCAGTACACATGTCAACGTGGGAAGGACAAGCAGAGTCATTACACGCATGAACTTGTCATTAGAGGGAAACACTAACACAAAAGGATGCTTTTCCCCAGCCTTTGGGGAACACACAGTTCCTTAACCTCTAAACCCTGGGACCACAGATTCAACAAAGAGAACTAAACATGCAGATTTAGACTTTGATGTTTTCTGGCAAGATTTTTACTCTCAAGGAAATAATTCTCTCCCCATGAGACTCAGACAGTTACAAGGACATTGATCTGAGATTTTGTTTCTATTCAGAGGACTAGTACAGTAAGTGTCACAGAGAAAGTGATGGCAGTTACCAGAACCATAACTCTGCTCACCTAGCCCTCTCTCCTATATAGTCATATTTCTCAGTTATTGTCCTTTTGTATCCCTTAAAATGACATGAACTCAACAACAAAAGCAGTACTTAGGTGTTGCTCTTTTCTTGTCCGGTCTTTCTTTCCCTTTGCCATCCTCTGGCCTATTTCATCCACCTACTGATTCAACTCATCATAGATCTTTTGGAGTAGTGATGCTCTCTTCCCCAAGTTACCTGCTCTGGTGTCCTATTGTACAGCCTCTCCAGCTGTTCCTTCCTCCGCCTCTCATGGCCAGCATCGAAGACTGGGATTTTCAGGTCTGTGCCTGGAGCCGCACGAATATTAGCCAGCTTGGCACAGATGTGATAATATCGTTCCTTCAGGTCCTCCACTGATCTTTTCTGTGGAACACATCACAGGAGAAAAACATTATAGGAGAACCAAGTAAAACATTGTGCAGTAGTTTGCTATGAACCACTGGTTGAAGGATGTCAGACAGGGTATACAACACAGCATCCGGGAGGAAGATCAGCAGAGAGCCTTGCCAGACCCAGTGGAACCAGAGGGAAGCGGGAGTTTCTCAGTGAACTGCATGAATGAACTGTCAAGGGTTCACAGCCAGTTCTTTAAAAACACCCACCAGAGGGTCCAACAATACAGCAGCAAAGCACTCCCAGATAAAAGGACGCAAGGACAGTTGTCTCAAGAGAAGAAAACCTGCGAACAGGAAACTGTGACAAATGCACAAGAGGCCTCCCCACCAAGCTGCTCCAGACAACAACGATTCTAGTCATAACCAAGACGGTATCGGTTGCAATAACTCATTGCCCATTGTTACATAGTCTGAGCTGTGTTCTCTTACTCCAAGCACCAAAGGTGTTTGGGCTGCCCAGGTGGGCAGACTCTTGTTATTTCACTTTGCTACAAGCTCTTCATGTGAGTGTTTCAGAGGGCGACAACAATCTCCACCATTTCGAGCTGTTCTGTAGGAGTCACATCACCCCCCTGTGTCACCAGGAGTCATGGAACCAGCAGTTACAAGAGATTTACAATCATGACACCAGGGCTGCATCTTCAGACCACTGATGGTCCCTGCTTCACAGCAGAGATCACAGAAACCTGCACCAGGTCAGACCACAAGTCACGAGCAGCATCAGGGAAAAATCCCAATCCCCAGAGACCGTTAGCAGATCCTTCTCCCAGCACCTAGACTGGAATCCAGGACACGTATCCTGCTCACCTAAACAAACTCCCCAGCTGCCTTATCTTCAGGGAAGAATGAGTTGTTCTCCTGGCAGGGGCAAACCTAACTTTCTAATAAAACACAACAGGGAACGAGCACAAGTCACAGTGGATTTAATTACAAACAAAGCAAGCAGCAATGCCCTGTGCTGGAAATTCAATATTTCTTACTGCCAATAATCCATTATTTTCCTCTAATTAAGTTGATATAAAGGGTAATTTGGTCTTTGCAGTGCAGCAAGTCCTGCACGTGTCGTAGCAGCAGGTTGCTAGCAGCACCTTGGCCCCCAGGACTCACCTTGAACTGCTGGTGATCGTAGCGGTCATGAATCACCACAAAGCGCAGATCAAAACGCCGAGCCAGGTCAAAGAGGTGGTCTGTCTCAGCTTTGGTCCACGCATCATCATGGAGATACATCTGGTACTCCTGCTCCGAGTACACAGGTACCTGGACTGTCTATGCAGAGAAAAGAAAAACATGGTAGCTCTCTTGCAGCACTGCCCTTCTCACTGCCAGCTGGTAAGGGCTGAGATACTTGAGCCCAGAACAAGAGTAGCACACCGACAGGAGGGGGCTGCCAGGACTTTGAGCAATGGGTCCTGGTAGGAGAAAATTACAAACAGGCAGAGGACTTGATAGGAGCAACGTGTGATCTCAGGGACACAAACATGATGTCTTGGGGAGCCTACCAGGAACTACTGCCTGAGAGGTTGAAACCTATTTCAGGTGGCTGACACAGGCAGAGGTCAGCAACCCACATCCTGACTACAGGTTTCAAAATTATCAGGCTAACATGACATTGAAATTAAGGTTCAGTCAGCCTCCCTGCATTCCTCCTATATAGCAGCACCAACACCTTGGCATAAACTGCTCTGACAATTGACTCTACTTGAGTTGGGACACGCTCGCTTGTACGGGAAGAACGGGAAAGGCAAGGAGTGGTAGTTCCTAGCCTTTAGCACACCTTCTGCTTTGATACACAACCCACTTCTTTCATGTTTGGTGCAGACAGTGCTATGAAGATCTGAAAGGCTGGGTGCTGTACAATTGAGGGCCATAAACTTGGCAAATAACTTTGCCCCTCCCTTCCTCATCCACCATTTCTCCAGCAGAGCCACAGGGACAAACGACAGTCCAACTCTCAGTGTGTGCCAGGTGCCTAAAAAGCCAAACCCACACCACTGCCCCCACCCTAGAAATGCTCTGCAAGGGCTCTATCCAGAACACAAGTGTCACATGAGTACTAAAGGAACAGTAAAAATACTTACTGTATTAGGGGAAGTCCTAGCGCATGGTAAAGCAAAAGTGCAAACAAGCCCTTGCTTTCCTCCCTTACCCCCTTGCACCACTCCTGCAGTGGAACTTTGCCCAGCCTGAGGAGGGGCATCGTGTGGATGTGAGCAGCATGCATGCTTCAACACCTCTATGCCCTCCCGAGTCCTACACCAGACAAGTCATCCTCATGAACTCCATACAGCTCAGAGGGGCATTTCTGTGCTTCCAAATAACAGCCTCTTTAGGTCTACTGCCCTTCTTCCATCACTTAGATACAGACACTTAAAAGTGAAGTGTACCTTTTGAGAATGTACTGCACCTCAACCTTCAAGTACCACTTCCACCAGGAGAAAAGCCATCCCATTGGACACCATAAAGATGTCCTAAGTACATCACAAAAAAAATTTTCTAGAGTAGCACACATACATGAAAAGAGCCAGCAAGGCCCTCTGCAGTGGATGGAAGTGGACAATAGCAAAGACACTTGCAAAACACTTCCTCTGCTCTACTCATGGCTGCTCAGGTGAGAACTGCTGAGAAGTGAGAAGGTGGAAACTTATTAGATGGAAAGCTTGAGCCAGCGATGGGATGACTATACATTCAAATGCAATATAGCCATGAAAATGCAAATATGACCCCCAGAGAGGGATTTCCAGCAGAAGCTGGCAGTGTTTCAGTTGCACAACAAGACCTTGGCAGGAATACCAACTACAACTCTACTGACTCCTGTTCAGGAAAGATGAACTGAAATGGGAACAAGTACAGAGAACAGCAACAAGGATGAGTAATGGGGTGGGGAGCTTGTCTTCCCACAGCAAATTGGAAGAGAAAGGAGACTAGCAAAGGAAGTCTGAAAGGGAATCTGACGGCAGGCTTCAAGTATGCAGACTGCAAGTATGCTAGATGGAATTAAAAGAATACCCACAGGAAGGAAAGAAAAATTGAAATAAGGACAAAGAAATTGGCTTGCAAAGAAATGCCAATTTAACATTGAAAATTTAACCTGGAAATGAGAAATGGTGCAGAGACAGTCTGGAACAGCTTCCCAAGGAAGCACAGGGGCAGGAAAATCCAAGTGCTTTTCAAAAGGAACTTGATCAGTTCATGAAAGGGACTGGATGGTGCAGGATCTGAAACAGCCACGAAGAGGGTTCAATGGCCCAGAAAACCCATCTCTGTCCTACATTTCACACTATGACCACTCACACAATGATGGGCTTTAAATTAGCTGAAGTTGCTCAGGAAAGATCCTGGAACCATGAAACAGTCCTGTGAAAATATCAGCACAATGCCTAGTAGTGGTGAAAAGACAAACTGAACAATAAAAATGATCAGGTAAATGAAGACAAACACAGTCATTGTACAAACATGCCATGCTTCCATAAGTGAAACACTCACTCACTCCTAGTCTAGCCATTTCAAAAGAAAGGATATTTGAGAACAACAAGAGTGAGACAGGGCACAGAACGGCAGATGGATGTCAAATTACAGAGAACACAGTACGTAGCAAGGACAATTTACTACATCACGTAACACAAGATCTCAGAGGCACCAAATGAAACCCCAAGGCAGCAGTTCAAAATGAACAGAAGAAAGTACCTTTGCACACCATACAAAATTAACCTGAAGAACTCATTAGGATATTCACAAAACAGCTTTCTGCCTTGAATGTATCTAGCAAGAATTATTAAACACAAATTCCATGTTAAGAAATCCTTAAGCTAAAGACCACCACAAGCTAGGAAAAAATGCTCTATATTTGCCCCATTCTCACGCTCTTTCTCTAAGCTGTTACTAACAGTAGCCAGAAACAGAATACCAGCTGAGAGAGGCCTTTGCTCTGACACCAGTGAAGCTGCTTTTATATTCCCATTTCACATCCCAGATCAAGGCTCAGTGTACACTGTGAAACCTGAGTTTACATTTTGGATCTCACAATGAAGAGAAGAAATTTGTTGTGGAGACTGGAAGCACAGAGAAAAGGCAAAGCAACTGAGCAGTGATGCAGGAGTAGGGTTAAAGCTCTTGAGCGACCAATAGGACATACTACACAGGAAACGGGTTCATGCCAAGGGTAGCAAGAGATTCAGGCAGAGGTATCAAGTATCTGAGAAGGAATCCACAGAAGAGTCTGGAAAAGTAAATAAAATTCCTCTGACATAGTAAATATCTGCAAAATGCCTCATTAGTGCCTTCTACCCTGTCAGCCATGGATCCATAAGGGTAACAACTTGCTCCTGATATTATGTAATTGTGCGTGTGCAGATGGCAGAGGTCTGCACCACTAATCTAAAGATTGCAGCCTTGCTGAAGGCTCCTCTGCCTGTCAATTCACAGTACACGATAAAGTTAAGGAAACGAAAATCATATAATTACAACACCCATGTGTGGCCCCCTCTGATAAACTCAGTTGAACTCAGCCAAAAACTGTTACAGCAGTAGATTCTTAGAGACAATTACACTCCCAAGTTTCACTCAGACAGCTAGGTAGGTGCCTTGACTGAGTCATGCTTCAGACTTCCACCCTAGGCACAAGAGAAGAGATACCACAGGAGACTCTTACCAATATCCCAGCAAGAGGAAAAGCACCAGTTAGAGCTTCAGCCTTCTAACATGTAAGGTCAACCAACCACTTAACTCCACAGAAAGCCAGGCTTTGTTAGAGTCGATGCTCCGTGGGTTACAAACTTAAAATGTTGTATACAGTTATACACAAGCAGAGCTTTTGTGGAATCATGTCAGCACAAATTTTTTTTCCTTCCCCTTCAGATTTGCACCATGAAGGGTGTTAAACTACATTATGGAGGCACCCTAACTCTGCTCCTTCCTAACTTTAGAGGTCCTGACTTTGAAGTACAAATCTTGATGTAGTTTTCTTTGTGCATACACATGAAAGCCCCAGCCACTCAAAGCAGATACGTCTGGGACAAAAGACGGCAAGAGATTACAACACATTGTGACAATTTAATATAAGATGCAAAGAACAGGGTACTGCACCACACTGATACCACAAGAGCAATTTCAGAGGGAATGCAACGTAACTCAGCATCTGTGCTGGAATCTGGCCAAGAGGCTGCAAGCCAGCTTTTTGGCCACAAAGCTCAAGCCATTTTTTTCATACTGAGTAAAACAACAAGACTTATGACTTTAATGTCTCACTTGGAACAGAATATCTTTTACTACCCAGAGCCTGTAATTAGGGAGATGATGTTGGTTAGGAACTGAATTAGACAGCAGAATGCCTCCTTGCCAAATCTGTGACTGCACACCTGAAACACAGGGGGCTCTACCAAGCTCTGACCACATATTGAGCCCACTTAGCTTCAATGATTTGGAGACATCATAGTCTGTGGTCACATGGCTGCAGGCCATACTGCAATTGCCAAATCTAACTCAGCCTTCACTTGCTGAAAGAAACAACTTCCTGTCTGGACATTCAAGAAGCTGACCGAAGGGTATTTTCCAGCTGCTATTTATATGCTTTTGTTTGAAAGTGCTTCCACTTACTTTATTGAACCTGGCAAAAGGGTAGTCCTTCCCTTCCTCTGCTGCTCTCCTCCAGTGGTAGAACATTGCGCCATCTTTTCTTGCTGGGTTGGTGAAAGGCATCCACTTCCAAGGTCGGACTTTCTTGGACCCCAGTTTTGCCTTGACTGTTCGATAACCCTGAGTTGTATCACTTGGCAGCAGCGGAGGTGCATCCCTGAGATGGAGAAAAGCACTGGCTGACAAGACGCAAGCAGCAGCCCAGGACAAACCCAAAGAGATTTCAGACTCAGAGGGGGATCTGCCACCACAATGTTTACGGTGGGAAAACCCATGTTTAAGTTTTATTCCAGGTTTTGCACTTCCCAGACTGCAATGCTTCGCACATCAGAGGACAGAATACACAGCATGGATAGGTTTGAACAGAACCATCTGGAAAGCAAACCATGCAAGAGACCTTGGAGGCAAGGGCACAATCTATAACAAGCTAAATACAGGCTGCAGCATTCTTTTTGCAGAAACAAAAGCAGGTGCTATTCCCTGTTGCGAATAAGAGAATTAGATACAGAAGGGTAAGAACACTGCCTTGTCTGCACTAGACTATTGTGCCTACACCTAACTCATCTACACAGACCAAACCCCTCAAATTTAGAAGAGAGAAGACAGACACTGTCCATGATTGTCTGAGAGAAGGGTACAAGCATGGGCCAAGCACAAAGGGGAATCAATCTGGGAAGCGATACTGCCCAATGTTTCAAGAGGATGCTGCCCTGCCACCAAAAGCCCAGGCTACCCCACAACCTGCACAGATGACCATAAGCTCTTACTTTTTGTCAGAGTAGAGGAGCGCATAAACTTCTCGGTGCATTCCTTCCGGCCTCTTGAATGTCAATGTCTCTGAAGATTTCTTGGATTTTTTCTGAAACAAAGGAATTGTATTTGAGATTCAGAAGCACCAGTCCCTAAGGGAACATTAAACTACATAATCTGGCACCCTGTGACGGTTTTCACTTTTATCTGTTTTTAGACACCTTGAATTTCTCCAGGAAAGTACCCATTCCCAATGGAAGACACTGACAGACAAACATGCCCACTTTCAGTGATAGCACTCACCAGTACTCAGAGAGTACTCTTGTTGCTGAAAACACATGCTTAAATTCCAAGTTGAATATCTGGCTGTAGTTTTCAGAGGCTGCTGTACTAAGCCTTTTTTTACTAGCTAAGCACTGTCCTCAGCTGAAGGCATTAATGCATTTAATTAAGTGATTCTTTATGTTTTAGAGAAGATAATCAGAAGCATCTTCCCACACTCTCTTAGCTTTCATCACTTTGTTCTGCAGCAACTTCAGTTTTTACCACTTGTGATCAAGCCCTTGCAGCAGCCCCATGTCAAAACTACTGGTATCACCTACAAAAGTAAACCCCTGTTCCCACCTCCACTCTCCCATTTATACAGCAAAGAATTTTTTTTTTTTTATATATAGTTTCTTCATACTAAGAATTCAGTGCAGATGACTCAGTCTGGCCCTTAAAACCTTGTCAGAACTGATGGTTTCTAAGACACAGTCCACCTCATATCACATATACAAGTTTATAAAGTAATCAGCTTTGGATTCAGGTAGATACAGTAAGAGCCACATTAACAAGGTATACTTTATTTAAGTGGGCCAAGTTTACTGAGTAGTCCAGAGCACTTGGTCTAACTGTACCATCTTTATAACTACTAGCCATGTCACTACTTCAAAGTACTTGTTTACCATATCGCTACAAACTTTTAAATCAGAATATTTTGCAGTAGTAAAACTAACACTACATCATAAATTGTACTAAATCCATACAGTCACCTTTATCAAGCAAATTCAAAATCCCATTAAAAAATAATAATCTATCAGTTTGGACTACAACTACTTTCCATAAAACTTCATGACAGACATTCATTATATCAGCACCTTTTCACTCCTAATCAAACACCTTGCTCCTAGCATGTCCATCACTTTGCCCAGGAGCAATGTAAGGCCAATCGAGGCAGTTACGCACGGGTCACCACACACTCTGTTTGAACACAGGCTTCTGGAATTCCCCCAAAGTTCCCAGATTTATTAAAAGTTAATATCAGCAGGCCAGAGATCAGCTCAGCCAGCTCTTTTAGGAGCTGAGAACAAATTACTTGGTCCTGTTGATTTAAATGTTTTTATGCCTAGTAATTTTTATTTTAACATTCTCAGTCACTAATGGACTGGAAAGTACTTCACAGTTCTCTTGTGATTTAAAGACATCAATCTGTTTCTTTTTTAATTGAGAACAGATCTATTTCCTGAGCAAGTGCTGCACTGTTATTAGCAATTTTGCTCTCTCCACGCGATAATGGCTTATACCTTTGGTTTGATTTAGTTTTTGTACTTTGTAGAAATTCAGAATGTTTCACGCACAGGCCTAAGTGGCCTCCTGCACTCCTCCTAAAACCTCTCACTGTATCTCTCCTTCCTCTCTCTTTCCATTAGAGTAAATTTGAGGAGAAAGCCATCTTATTCTCTCCTCCAAAAGAGCCAGATAGCCACCAGCACTCCTTTAGCACTCTGCTAGCTAACAAACACATCTAAATCAAAGAACTCACAACTCTGAAAACTCAGTGGCATAACATTGCAGGCTAAATCCTGCCAACGAGCTGCTCACCAGACATACTATTCACCAACACAGCTGATAACTAGTGATTTTAACATTTTAGTCTCTAAATTACTAAAACTCATCAGTTTTCCACTACACCAATTATAGTATGTGTCCTGTCCCCAGTAAGGTAGTTATGAAACCACTGTGCCTCTCTTCACAAACGTTTCAGTGGAGGCAAAGACAGTCAGGAAGTACTTTCACTGATGGGGTGGTTGAGTATGTTTGGGTTTGTTTTGGTTTTTTTTCCAAACAAATACACAGGCTTTACTTCAAATTAAACCATCTCCATACCAGAGAGCTCCTGGGGACATCCTCTCCCCTGGCTCATTTCCAAGGACCTCCACATCTCATAACCACTCAAGAGCTAACCTTCCCAACACCTTGCAAAACATGGGACATCCAAGACCTTGCCCAAATTTAAAATACAGAGACAACAACATACCATAGCATATTACCACACAGAACACAGCACGTGACAGCATAGGTCCTTAATAGAGCTTATTAACTTGCCCACATTCCCACAGGCAACACATCCCAGTTCTCCCAAACCCTAGCCACACACCTTCCCCGCACAGGAACTGCTCCCATGCTTTGAAGACATTTACCATTAATTCAAGTCAGACAACGTTTTTTTCTTCTAAAATAGGACTGCGTGATACTATTTCCATCTGCTTGGGGGCTAGATGGTAAACACACTTCACACTTACTCAACAAAATGAGAATTTCAGAGACAGGTGAAAATGTCCTGAGGCCAGGCCCAGCTCACCAGGACATCACTTACACAGTTCCAGCTTAAATACCATGCCAAATGCCACAGCCCAGTTAACTAAGAACACCAAGAATCTAGGAGTAAGGCCCTCCAGGCATTTCCAGATACTCCTAGGAAGCCCGAAAATAAACAGACTATGGTTGGAACTTGCTTTATTCCATTTTTTTTACAATATTCACCTCAGACACCAAATGCAAGGTCAGTCAGTGCTTAGAAAACAAGCAGCAGCCCCTTATGGCACCACAGTTCACCTTATCCGAGTTGATGATATCCTTTTTGTTGATGGTGCCCGTGTTCTCCGACTCTACACCGCCCAGCTCCAGGATGTCCCGCACGTCTGCACCGGTCGCCATCTCTCCGCCTGCCCGCTGGCCTTCTCTGCCGCCCTCCTGTCCGTCCCCTCCAGCTCTGGGAGGGAGGGGGAAACCAGGGGGCCGGGGGTTAATGTGCACTTCCCTCAGGGGCTATCCCATACATACACAAACACGCATATGTGTGTGTGTATATATACACGTATATCTACATACATACACGCACATACATACCCATACA